TCCCTCTTGCAACAAAGTCAATTCCACCTTGCGGGGAATCAAACTTTCCACACTACCGCGTTGAGCCCTAACCGCCCTTCCCTTTGCCACTAAGAGATATGCCCTGGGGGCTACAAATAGTAAATAGATTAGGTGTCAAAAAGCTAATATAGATTTTTTTTTATATTGAGAAATTACGATCCAATCATATCTCATTATGTAAATTATTATATACATGTAATTATATATATGTAACACAATCGTCTTTATTTTTCTTCTCTTTAATTTAATTTTTAAGTATAATTTTAATTTAAAATATTGAAATAGGGTGACGTTTAATTTTCAGTCTAGGATGGGTAATGGAACATTATGTCAACTTTTCCTACAACAGTGTAACTAATAAACGGACCTCAATAATAGTTAATTTATCGTTGTGGGTGAACGAAAAATATAATCGAGAAAATTGTTTAATTAATTTCTAGATATAGATAAGTTACATCACACAATCTAGATGTAATCCACTTTAACGCCACATGGGCAGGCCTCGTATGCTTCCCACGTAGTGTGGCTATAATGAAGCAATATGATTAGTCGATTTTGAGTTTTTCAGCGGTATAAGCAACTCGCACGGCATTAGCATGAATGGTGTGTATTCACCAACCCTTGCCGTTTGTCGAACTTCGTATGATGGATAACTCGTATAGGTACAATAAACAAGGGTCGGATGGTCGAAACCCTTTCTTTGGAGTTTCTATATTATGGTGATTTGAACAGTTGGAATGTGCGGTCAAATACGTAACGAAACATCTTTATCGATTTTTTAAAATTCGTATAGAAAGGAAGGTTTAGGGAAATAATCTCAAAATGAGTAATTCAATGGAGGAAAACAGTAGCATGACTACAATTCCCAACCAACGGAAGGCATGACACGTGTAAATTTGGGTGTGCCACATCTTTACTTAATTCAGGAAACCCACCTATAAATATCCATATTTTACTGTTATTGTTTTATAGCATTTAGTTGGAATGCCAATGATTGTCGATCTTTTTCAATCGTGCTACTCGTACTGGTGAGGGTTGGGTGTGTGGGGGAGGGGTGGTTTGGTTCATTTTTTATTTCGATGGATCCCACACATGTGAGAGTCGCTAAAATTTATGTCAACTATTTCCCTGTACAAATGGTTCATTCCTTTTTCTTGAGACTGATCTAGATGTCTAACAGAGTCCTAGTATGCAGATAATATATAAGTTGAAAGGGAGGCAGCAAGAGCTCAATTGATAGTAAAATCGTACACATTTTTAGATAGTAAGAGTTGAGACAGGATCATGTTCCTATCGCTCACCTTGTTTCCTTGATTGGAACATGAAATTTCCATCCCTATATTTGTGTGGTGAGATTTTTTTTTTGTACTATATTTTTCAATATTTTATTTTCATTTTTCGTCTTGTTGTTAACTTCTCTTAGAGATGGCAACATGCGAGGTAGGATTGAGTGGTTCAAATCAGGGCACCCTCTCCTTCGAAAATTTTTGTGAATTGAGATGGGACAGGAATTAAAAAAAAAAAAAAAAATCTCCATTGACTTATTTATTTAAATTTAACAAATTTTTATTTTTAAAATACAATTTAAATTATAAACTTAAAATAAAATATAATAATCAGGGGCGGGCATCATATTTCTCATTTATTTTCATTTGTAGCTTTTCTTACAATTCAATGGTAACTAATATAGGTCAATGCTAATATTTGCAATATAAATAACCTCGTGAAGTCATGAACCATGCGTGTTGTAGGATTCACGGAGACTTTTGAATAGTAATTTTTAGGAAAATATATGATTAAGAAGTAAAAAAAAAAAAATTAATTTACGTACAAAATATTTTATTGTGTGATTAAAAATGATATGGTAACAAAAAGAATTTTGAAACAATGAAGAGATTGTGTGGACATCGTTCGGGATGAGAATAGAGGTGTCAATCTGGGTGGTCCGGGTCTGGTCGGCCCTCCAACATATGAGCTTGGTAATGGCCCGCATGAAAAAAGCCCGCTCGCTACAGGTTCTGGACCGGTTCCGAGTCGGCCCACAAATTTTGGACTGCAATCCAGACCCGCCTGCTGACCTATCCGGGTCGAGCCTATGCTGGTCAAGGGTAGTGGTTTGTTCCGATTTGGCCCATATTATTATATAAATAAAATTATAAAAATATAGAATTTTTCATATTTATAGCAAAAAATATTTTTTTTGTTAAATGTAAACTAAGAATTGAATAAAATGATAAATTCATATTTATACCAAAAACTGTTTATATATAATTTAAATTT